GGATCGGGCAGTGTTTCGTTCTGCTGTGCATGGGGTCGCTATGAGTCGGAAACGACTCGACGGCACTTAACAACAAAAACAACAATAAATAAATGAATATATTGATTTATTAAGTTAACTTAAAATGAATAAAACTATCAAAACTGACTAAGAATTAAATAATAGATAGCTTACTAAGCTTTTAAAAAGTTCAGTGGTACTTTGTGAACTTCAAACATTTAATTTATATCAGAACTTCTTTTCCCTGGAAGCAATAAAAGTAAAATCTTTATTATTGCTCTCATAATTAGAAGCTTATGATGGTCAGACTGAGAAAGGTAAAAAAACTTTAACATCTTAGTTTCCAAGTATTAAAAGATAAATATTAGTTTTGAAAATGGTTGATGAAGATATGGATACGCAAGTTACTCCAAATAGCAAAACAATCTTGAAAAAGAACGGTGGGAGAACTGGCACTTCTCATTTTCAAAACTACTAAAAAAAAAAAAAAACACCTCACTGCCATTGAGTCAATCCTGACTCATAGCATCCCCTCTTTGCTTTTCCGAGGCAGTATCTCTACAAAAGTAGATTACCCAGTCTTCTTTCCGAGGAGTGGCTGGTGGGTTTGAACCTCCAGTCTTCTGATTAGCAGTCAAATGCCTTAGGCACTATGCCACCAGAGCTCCTACACTAAGCTATAAGAATCAAGATAGTGTGGTACTGACACAGAGAGAGACATATGTCAATGGAATAGAATTGAGGATTCAAAAATAAACCCATACATCAATGGTGACTTGATTCTTGCCAGTGTGCCAAGACCATTCAATGGGGAAAGAATAGTCTTTTCAAGAAATGGTGGCTATCCACACACCTTCCTTGTCACCTTCCTCCCTAATGCACGTTTGGAACCATTGCAGCCTCCCAATTCCATGCAAGATCTTATGAAGGTTCTTCTCTTTTTGGTCCCAGTGGAACATCATACAGAAGTGGGGCAAATGGAACATGTGCTTCAAGTAGAATTATTTCAGTATTGGTTACGGCTGGGATAGTATGCCTGGGAAGATAAAATTAAAGACAGGATAATATATTGGTTGCAAAGACAGGCTCTGGAAACAGCCTGCCAGTGTAAATGCTGGCTCTGTGGGGTGAATCCTGAACTCTGCAGTTATTTAGCCTCTTTGTGTTGCAGAAAAAATAGAGGTAATAATAGAAATTAAGATAATAATAGTATTTACCTGATAGGGTTATTGTGTGGCTTAATTCACTGTGGTTAAGGCATTGGGTTGTTAACCAAAAGCTTGATGGTTCAAATCCACCAGCCCTTCTGTGGGAGAAAGACAGAGACAGTCTGCTTCTATAAAGATTTATAGCCTTGGAAACCCTATGGGGCTCTATGAGTCAGAATTGACTCTATGGCAGTGGTTTTTGGTTTGAATGAACTAATAGATGTTAAATACTTGGAATGGTAATACACACAAATTGAACTCAATAAATGGTAGCTTGCATTTTCAAGTTAACACTCAGAGGTCATAGAAAAAGAGACAAAGTATGAGAAAATCCTATGTTTTAGAGTTGGGCAGATGTAAGTTTGAATTTCAGTTTCACACATGCTGCTTGTAAAACGCATACAGGGGTGCTTTGAGTTAGAATTGACTCAACAGCACTGAGCATGGCTTTTTATGGTTTTTCCTTTGAAATCTTGGTAATTAGCAGGATATTGCTTTTCTGAACTTCTGTATCCCCATCTGAGAGAGAAGAAAAAATAATATCTCTGTCATGACATTGCTACAAAGATTAGCTCATAATCAAATGAGAGGCATAGAATAACCTTTCAATAAAGAGTCATTACTTTTCCTTAGAGAAAAAAGAACAAAAAAACTGAAAAGTTTGTGATGCAGACATTTACTCAATACGTAAGAAATCTTTTTTAAAGTTAAAGAATTTTAAGATTTTTGTTTTATCACCTTAACATTTCTTATCATTTTACTCTGATCATTAACAAACTGAAGTAACTTACTGAAAAGCTCTATTTTTAGGTGTAATTTATGTGGTTATTTTGTCCCAAGAGTGCAAGACGAGTTTAATGGGCTCAGGATCTAAAATTAAAAAGTGCACATATTGCAGCTAACTATTTAAATCTAAGTGAACTGTGGTATAAATTTGCATTTTATTTAGGACATTCACCCTGGCTCTTTAAATTCCATCCATTATAATGATAAAAGAAAGCATTTAGCTTGTCTGACCTATGAAGCAAGCATTTCCATTCAACTGATACACGCACTACATACTTGTTATATAAGGCTTAATTCGGGCCGAGTAAATAATTTGATCAGTCTTTGTTGTGGCTATTTCTTGGTTATGCTTATTAAAATGCTTTGTGTCTCTTTGATGAGAACAGACAAATCCTAACTTTTGTTTTTGTTGTACCCAGTTGCTGTTACTCCTTACGGTTATGCATCCAAGTTTGACATCCACTTTGATGACAAGTTTGATGTGTCTTTTGGGAGAGAGGGTGAGACGATGAGTCTAGGCTGCCGTGTAGTTATCACTCCCGAAATTAAACATTTCCAGCCAGAGATCCAGTGGTACAGAAATGGTGAGTCTTTATAATAATGAATTCTCCCTTAAGCACTTATTTGAAGGTGGCTGCAGGCTAGATCCCCATGTCTGGGCTGAGCACAGGTATCCACAGTCTGCATATCTGTTAGCAGAGTTGGAATAGTCTGGAAGTTAAGAGGGGATAACATACTTTATGGTTTTAAAATCAGTTTTCACATATATATCAAAGTACTAAATGTTCGCAGTGTATTTTTGGAGATTACATTTTCTTAACACCAAGTAATATGTGGAAAGAATTGCCAAATAATGTACATTTATTTTGAAAGTTTATTTGGTGAAATATCCTTCCTCATAGACTTCTCATTTATGTGATAGGAAGTACATGAAACTTTTTTCAAAACATAACTCTATTTATTAATTAACCAGCAGAGTAAATTTAAAGCAATTCAGATCTTGGCACTTTTGTTCTCATGTATTAAAGGCTCTTTATAATTTGAAGTTTCTGGTAAGTATATTCTGCATGCAAAATATGCACAACTGCATTGATGTCACAAAAGTTTGTTGCTTTGTTTGTATTATAACTGAGGCTAGAAGAACAGAATGGAAAATTTTCCTTTTTTAGTTCCTCTACATTTCTAATAACAACTTAGATTTGGGTGAAAGTACACAGAGTAAATTGGTTTTCCATTCAACAGCTTGTACACATTTTGTTTCATGACATTGATTGCAATCCCCATGATATAACAGTCCCCTTCCTACTTCCTCCTTGTGTTTACCACTTCCCTTTGTTCTTCTTTCCTATCCATTAGTATTATTTTCTTTCAAAAGTGCCCAGAGCCATAATACTTTGATGTGAGGAAGAAACAAGATTTAATTTTCTCTTATATGTCATATTTGGATAAAAGTCTATTAAAAATCTAGATAATGCTCTAAGGCCAAAGGAGACCAAACCAAACAAGAAAACTATCAAAACAAGTTGATTAGTTGAATCATTTAAAAAAAAAAAAACACAAACCTCACTGCTGCCCAGTTGGATTCGACTCATAGCAACCCCTCCTTGGGTTTCCAAGGTACTATCTCTATGGAAGTAGACTGCCCAGTCTTCCTTCTGAAGAGTGCCTGGTGGGTTTGAACTGCTAGCCTTCTGGTTAGCAGTCAAATGCCTTAGGCACTGATCTTTAAAATAGTATTATAAATCTTAGATCCAGAAGAACTGGGTTTCTATGCTGGATTATCTCATCCAATAGAAAGACATTTAAAAAGTCCATAGTGAATAAGGAACAGCCCCAAACCACGCAGCAAAATGCTGGCAGAGCCAGACCTCAGACCCTGTTGTTCTCCTCTGTCCAGGCCTCTTTCCACGATTCTGTGCTTCCTTTTATGTCTTTGAAAATTTAGGTTCAGAAAAGAAAGAGGAAAGCTAACCTCACTGAAAAATCTGTACTTTCTCCAACTTTCTGCATCCCTCTATGTCTAGGGACTGAAAATACATATCCTGCTAGGTATATGCTTATCTGCAAACCCCAAAAGACCAGCTAGTAGAAGATATGTAGTGGAGAAAGAAGCAAATAGACCTGGAAACTCTCATTGTTTCTTTTGATTGTTCTTAAGTAAATTTTGACCAGGATTATATTTTAAAGCTCTCAAAATTTTTTAAAATTCTAAGTGTGTTTAGCTATTCTGTGTATTAGTAAGATTATCATTTAATTTTATGTTTCATTTTTTTTGTAAGATAAACTCTGGAAAAATGTAGAATAGAAAAACATAGTGATAATGTTTTGTGGTATTTCCTGTAAGGTGCTTTATGGTTGCTCAAACTCTATTTTGTTCATGGAAAAAACAAAACTAAAGCCCAGAGAGATTAAGTGACTTGTCCCAAGTTGCACAATTAGTTAATGAAAGAGATGGGACTGAACATGGGTCCCTTCCAGAGATGACTTCACAAGCATGCCAACTGTGCCAGCCCACAGGACCACTCTCAGAGGGGACCTGTGACTCTCTAACGCTCTGCTGTCACCATCCTGAAATTCTTAATAATTTCACAACTTGGCTTTCGTAAGTAATGTCGGATGGGACAATGGAGCATGCATATGAGCAAAGAAGATATATTAAGTGGCAGCGTGGACACTCATAGGCTTTGCCCTGGGCACGGTGGCCATGTTCAGATGCTCACCAAGCAGTTGGCCTGGCCTTCAGTGTGTGTCCACCTGAGCACTCTGGAGGACCATCGTGTTCTGAGGAGATGGCTGGGTCAGGACCTGAGTCCAGACTGGAATTGGCAATGGCAGCAGTAGTGATGGTGCCTCAGAGGAAAAGAAACAAAGTAGAGATACTATCTCTCTCACCCCAGCACTAACAGTAAAGTTCAACAAGACAGAAAACAACAAATGAAGAGATTGGAACCCTCATACATTGCTGGTGGGACTGTAAAATGATACAACTACTGTGGAAATTGGTATAGCAAATCCTTAAAAGTTGGAAATAGAAATACCATTTGATTCGACAGTCCCAAAGAAGTGAGAGCCAGGTCGTGAATAGATATATGCACACCCATGTTCATCACAGCACTATTCACAATAGCAGAGAGATGGAAACAACCTAAGTGCCCATCAACAGAGGAATGGATAATACATAGCACAATGGAATACTACTCAACACAAAAGAATAATGTAAAATCCTCATAATGTAGGTGAACTTGGAGGACATTATGCTGAGTGAAATAAGTCAATCACAGAAGGACAAATATTGTATTAGTCCACTGTTGTAAAAAGTCAAGGAAATATTTTCACACAGAAGGAAACTTTCTTTGTTGATTACCAGGGATGAAAGGCAAGGGCAGCGAAAAAAAAAAAAAAAAACCATCATCCCTAGAGTACTAAAATTTATGTCTTGAAATAATTTATCTGAAGGTTATCCCAATATCATCACAACCTATATAATACTCTTAACAGCTCCGGTAACAATTACATCAGCAGAAATATCCTTCTAGAAATAAAATGTTGTCAAAAATAATTTATGATCTTGCACTTGCAAAGAATGACTGATGTTGTTTTCTATTATATACATTTAAAATAAAATTGCTAAAAGTATAAATTTTGATGGTTTAAATGAATTACCAGAAAAATTACCAAGAAATATCTTATTATCAATCAAGATATTATATTAACAAAGTTTTATTGTATGTAAAATTGTGACACCAAAATTACTCTTTGCAATTTATATTACTCATATTATGTTTTATAAGTAATAAAATAATTTAGAGGAAAAATTATATATTTTAGTATCTTAAAGATACTGTGTGTTTTCTCTACTTTTTTGAGCAAGGACACTTGCAATTTCATTTTGCACTAAGTCCTGCAAATTATGTATCTGGCCTTGGCCCCCTCATTTCTGGTATAAAGTACTGGTATACTGGCACTTCTACCAATATAATATGGCCCAAGGCCCCAAAGATTTTCTGTATCAGCCAACTAGTTTTCTCAATAGACAGGATGAGAAAAAGAGAGGGAGAGAGAGAGGAATGGAGGGCAAGAAGGAAGAAGAAAGAAAGGGAGGAAAAAGTTAATTTACTTTTTTTTTTTTTTAAATTTCTAGGGGCACTTGTCTCTCCATCAAAATGGGTGCAAACACACTGGAGTGGAGAACGAGCAACACTGACATTTTCTCATCTCAACAAAGAAGATGAAGGCCTCTATTCAATTCGTGTGCGAATGGGAGATTATTACGAGCAATACAGTGCTTATGTCTTTGTTCGAGGTAAGACCTAGCAAAAAGCAGAAGATCAAGAATGTTTAAAATTTTGGAGTCAAATCAATCTACTCAAATATATTTTTGTGTTTTGTTTCAAATGAAAGAGCCATTTGAAAACTTCCAAATTTTATGGCATAAGATAACAATTTCCAGAGAAATCAGATGTCGTGTAAAAGGTGAGCCCTAGCTCTGGTAGCATAGTGCCTAAGGCACTTGACTGCTAACCAGAAGGCTGGTAGTTCAAACCCACCAGCCACTCCTTGGAAGGATGGTTGGGCAATCTACTTTCATAGCGGTACCACTTTGGAAACCCAAGGAGCAGTTGGTATGAGTCGGGTCCAACTCCACGGCACATAACAACAACAACAAAGGCACCAGCATGAAAGTGACTGATTTCCAAGCCATGTTACTGTCAATAACATCAGGACTTTGCTCATATTCAACCTACTATGAGCACAGTTCTCTATAGGTGTACAAGCAAAGATGCTAATCCTAAAGATAAGAAATGTCATCTCATATGGAAGTTACAATGAAAGAGAGATGTGTTATTTTTGGACTTACTCTTAAGTATCTATTTTGGGGAGCAGATTCATCATTTTACTCCAAAGTTCTTCTTTACAGCTTGAGCTTTGATGATGTAGAAACAAACTGGTACAATTTAATTTTTAAGAGGAACTGTAATTGTTGATTGTAGGAGTCTTTCTTTTTCCAGTGGTGCCTTGAATAGATTTTATATGGACAAGTGGAAATGTGATTTCTACATGGGACCCTAGCACATATGGAAGACCATTAACACTTCCAGACTACAAGGATAGACTTGCTAAATTAAACAGAATCATAAACTCATAAGCATTTTGACCAAAATGAAACCTTAGAGATCATTCAAAGATCTTTAACCAGGATCCACACACTCCTGAAGGGTCTGTGATTAGAAATATATTCCACTTCCATCTATTTCTTTCATATTATATATTATACACTTTATATGTATTATATATTATACATTTAATAACATTGTTTGAGAAGGGGCCGCTAGGCTTTACTGGATTGCCAAAGGAGTCTATGGCACAAAAAATGTTACAACTCTCATTTAAATCCAACTGCTGAATTTTAAGATACAGAAACTGAGGCTCAAATGATTAAGGAATTTACCAAAAACCTCACAGTTAGAAGTACAAGTGGAACGAAGATACAGGTCTCCTGATGCCTAACCCAGGATTTTAAGTAGGGTTTGCAGTTGACTCCTGGGAAGGAAGGTTTGGCAATCTACTTCCGTAGTGATACCGCCTGGAAAACCCAAGGAGGGGTCTCTATGAGTCGGGTCCTACTTGATGGACATAACAACAACAGCAACAGCAATCAAAGGGTTGGCAGTTTGAAGCCATCCGGGGGCCATGGAACAAAGTCCTGATGATCTGCCTCTGTAAAGACCACAGCCAAGAAAATCCCACGACACTCAGTTCTCCTCGGTAATAGGGTTGCCATGAGTTGGAATCAACTCAACAGCAATGGGTTCGGATTTTTTCTTCTTTTTTTGGTTTGTAGGCTAAGTTGCCAAAAGAAAACAACAACAAAAAGTTTATATCTCTCTTATGTCTGTCAGTCCAGAGGAAGAGGGTAGTCCACATGGTTCTGCTCAATTAAATCATTCACTCTTAGGCCCCATTTATGTTGCTGTACCCTGTGGTCCTGTCCTATGTCCCAATCCAGCCTACGGAATGAAGAAGAGAGGAGAGGAGAAGAACGTGGAGGAAATATGCAGAGTTGCACACATCACTTCTGCTCCCTCCAGCTATATGCACATACCACACAGAGTGGAAAGCAAGGGTGTGTAATCTCTAGTTGGGCAGCCAGGCTCTCTCTAATGCTCAGCATTCCAGTTCTAAAAGGAAATAGAGAAGAATGGATACTAGGGACAGTTAGCAATCTATATCATGCCAGTACTGATGAGTAGGAACTTATCATTGAATTCTGCGATATTCCAGCAACTGATAAAGTTGTATGAATATCTATGTTATTGTTGTTATTAGGTACCATCGAATCAGTTTGGAGTCATAGTGACCCTATATACAACAGAGTGAAACACCGCCAGTTCCTGTACCATCCTCACAATCTTGCCGTGTTTGAACCCATTGTTGTAGCCACTGTGTCAGTCCATCTTGTTGAGGGTCTTTCTTTTTATCCCACTGATCCTCTGCTTTACCAAATGTGATGTCCTTGTCCAGTGACTGGTCCCTGCTGAAGACATATCATAAGTGCATGAGATGATGTCTCACCACCATCGGCACTTTTAAGGAGTATTCTGGCTGTACTTTTTCCAGGACAGATTTTCTCATTTTTCTGGCAGTCCATGGTATATTCAACATTCTTTACCAACACCACAATTCAAATATATCATTTCTTCTCTGGTCTTCCTTATTCATTGTCAGCTTTTGCATACATATGAGGTGATTTTAAATACCATGGCCTGGATCAGGTGCACCCTTAGTATTCAAGGTGACACCTTTGCTTTTTAACACTTTAAAGAGGTTTTTGCAGCAGATTTTTCCAATGCAATATATCATTTGACTTCTTGACTGCTGCTTACATGGGTGTTGATTGTGGATCTAAGTATGAGTATCTGTAATATCTGAAAGATGCTTCAGACTTTCTCTTACACAAAAAACATTGTGGGAAAAGTTAGATATCACTGGGGGAATAGAGAAGCCAGCCTTCTGGGTCAATTGCAGTGAAAACTGACACAGTGGAACTCATCAGCAAGAAAATTTGTATAGTCAACCCACCTGCATAAATGTGCTCTGTGAGGACTGAGGTAGTCTTTGCCTTTATCCTCAGTTGTCTGCCCTGAATCAGAGAATATCTTCTGCAGAGAGGATCTGCTCTTCCAGAAAAATTTAGTTATGTCTTGGTGCTTCCTTTATGGACTTTTTCTGGGAACCCTGACATAGTCTAGTGTTTCTTTCATAACATTTTTCAGTGCCTACCCCCAGAGTTGTGGCCCTCTGTCAGGTTTAGGATAAACTTCACATTACTAACTACTGAAATGTATACTTAAGCCAGTTTTCAAATCCACAAAGTAAGGAAATAGAAATAATCTTGAAAATGCATCAGATGTCAATATGAGAGAAAGGATAAATGATAAGGATAAATTCCAGCAATTGCATCATAAATTTAACAATTTTTAGAAGAAGATTTCACTCACAAGGTTTTTTTAGTGATATTTTTAAGGTACTTGCATTAAAATTATCTTTGTTGTTGTTGTTGTTATGTGCTGTTAAAGTATAATTTATAGACCATTCACCTATGTATAAAATTCTGTGCTTTTTAGTATATTGAAGGAATTGTACAACCATCACTCACAATCCAATTTTAGAACATTTCCATCACCTCAAAGAGATTTCAACATAAGACCATAATCCACTTCTAGCCCCACCGCAGCCCTTGTTGCTATGTGTCACAGAGTTGATTCCTACGCATAGACACCCTATCGGATGAAGCAGAACTGCCCCATAGGGTTTCCTGGGCTGCAATCTTTACTGGAGCAGATCCCTGGGTCTTTCTCCTGTAGAGTCACTGATGGGTTTGAACTGCTAACATTTTGGTTAGTAGCCGAGCACTTAACTATTGAGCCACCAGGGTTCCTTACCCCAGCCCTAGGCAACCATTTATCTTGTTTTCTGCTTCTGTAGATTTGCCTTTCTGGACATCTCTGGTTCTAATACCTGGATCCAATATGTGGTTTTTCACTTCTGACTTATTCACTGAGCACAGTAATTTTGAGATTCCTGTATGTTGTAACACATCTAAGCAGTTTGTTCCTTTTTATCACTGAATTGTTTCCCAATGTATAGCTATACTTCATTTTGTCTACCCACTCACCAGCTGACAGACAGTTGAATTGCTTCCACTCTGTCTATTATGAACAATGTTGCTATGGACATTTTCATTCATATTCATGAACATATGTTTTCATTTCTCATGGATAGACACCTATGAGTGGAATTACTAGGTCATATGATAAATTTATGTTTACCTTTTTGAGATACTACTGAACTGTTTCAATGCATTTTTTTTAAAAAAACTTTGTATCTATTGAGCCATTATAATGCATTTATTTTTGGAGTTCTGATATTTTTGCTGCTTAGAAAATAGCTTCTGAACCAGAATGATCAGTGTATAAAGTGCCATATGTCTGCAGACACACATTCTAGAACTGCACACATTTGGCCAGGATTTTATTATATAGATACTATGTGTTCAATGTAAATAAATAAATTCTAATATAAATAAGCAACAAGGAAAGAGAAGAAAATTCATCAATAAGTCCACCATCTAGACATATTCAATACTATATTTTGCTATTTTTTCCTAAACTTTTATTTGTTCCTTCCTTTCCTTTTTTTCCATTCCCTTCTCTCTTTCTCTCTCTCACACACATATACACATACACATTCACACAGAGAGAAATGAAAAAGTAATAAAGGATGGGATAGAAATGTCATGAAAGAAGAATTACAAATGGCAAATAGCCAAAACCAAACCCAGTGCCATCAAGTCGATCCCACTCATAGCGACCCCATAGAACAGAGTAGAACTGCCCATAGGGTTTCCAAGGCTGTAAATCTTTATAGAAGCAGACTGCCACAGCTTTCTCCCACAGAGCAGTTGATGGGTTCAAATCACCAACCTTTACATTAGCAGCCTAGTGCTTAATAACTACATTGCCAGGGCTCCTTCAAATGGCAAATAAATAAATGACAAAGTTTTCACTACCAATCAATATAAGGAAAAGTGAAATGAGATAACATCCTTATCCATCATATTGAAAAAATTAAAAAGATTTTAAGAGTCCACTGAGTTGAAGGAATGGAGAAATAGGCACTCCGTGCCTTGCAGGTAAATGTAAATTGCTTCTAATTTTCACAAGGCATTTTGCCAGTAGGTGTTGAAAGTGCACATTTCCAACACTTCTATTTCCAGGAATTTGACTAAGTTGGACAAAAGTGAAGAAAATGTTTGTATTGTGGAAAAGTGAAAGAAATTTAGATATCCAAGTTGTTAAACAAATTATGGTAAATGTTATATATAAACAACAGAATGCTATAAAGCCAAGAAAACTAATGATGTATGCCTAGATTTACACACAAATATATAGAACAAACCCATTTTCATTTAAAAAATAATTATTTTTGAGTTCATAAATTTAAAAAATCTAAGATGGTATAGGCCAATGTGTTAGCAGTAGGTGTCTCTGAATGATAGAATTAAAGGGGATTTTAACTTATCATATTTTTGATAATCAAATATTTTACAAGCATGTACAATATTTATAAGAAAGATAAACAATAGAATTATGTATATTTTGGAAAAAGTTATTAATAGTCTATGTCAGAAGTCAAAATGTAAAAATTAGCAGGCTAATCCTCGACCCAGTTAATCAGAGCTATGAAAAGTGTGGCTATTTGGGAGTCAGGATACTGAAGGACAGACTTATAAGTGGGCTAATGTTGACTGAACGGTTGACTGTCGGCCAGACACTGTGTAGCAGCTGCTGCAAGCCAACTGCTATGACAACAAGTGCCATATCACTGTATCACTTATCCCTCACTTAGTCATGTTGCTTCACAGTGTGCTTTTGTCATTTCAAATATACTTCATCCTCTCAACTATATCGAGACTTCTTAAGAAGAGGAATGACCCTTGTTCTTTAACTTTTGCATGTAGCACCTAAAAGTGTACTAATATACAGTAGATATTTAACACCTTGAATGAATGAATGCCCGAGTGACTTGAAACATTGTCAGGCCCACCCCATGAATGGCACGTTCTAAGGAATTTCATAGAAATGTTGGTGAATTCCTCAATGCCTTCTGTCTGCCAGGCTCTGTTACGGCTTATCACTACTGTTGTACAACTACACAAAGGGTTTTCAGCTAACTAAACTGTTCTATCAATGCATGGGTTCCTTGTTGCTACATTATGGGCATTTAGCAAAAGGACATGACTAGGAGTTGCCAGCTGCCTCCCTGGCAGCCAAGCGGCTTTCTAGCAGCAGCTCTTCTGCCAGTTAGTATGTTAGTCTTGTCATCCCTACACTATTCTAGCTCTGCTCCACCTCCACATCACCATAGCAGACACCTCCCCTACCCAGTGTTCCCAAAGAAAGACGTTTTTCCCCACCAAAATGCTCCAATGTCCCTTGTGTAGCACGCAGGGATTGTGCATCAAGTTTTAGGCACAATGACCTAGTTACAGTTTCCTATAGCACTTATGCAGGAATTAAGAACCTAGAGACAATTGCCAGCAGATTCTTGGGGCCAAAAATGGAATGTTCAAAACCAATGTGACTTGAGCTCATCACAGGTCATGCAAACCTATTAAATCCAGAAGTATACACATATTTCTGCCTTGTTATCAAATGTTTTGATAACTTGTCAGAGCTACAGAAGTGCAGATCATAGAAAAGGAGAGTGTTTGTTTAGTCAACAAGAGTGTTTTCCCCTGGGTGAGCAGTTTCTGCATATCTCAGCCTCTTCTACTACCTTGTTTATGAAAGGTTTGGTCAAATGTCAGAAGAAATTGGCAAATTTGGGCCTCCCCTTGACTCTGCCTCTTATCTTAATAATTCTCACTTAAAAGATTACAAATAGAATATTTTCATTCCCCTTCCTCCTCTCCTGAAAACACCCCTGATTCACTAGTTTCCCTGTCCCTGAAGGCACACTGAGGGGACTCACTGTCTGAAGATCCCGTTTCATAAACAGTCACTGTTCTCAGTGTCTTGTTTAATCCTCGACTTTTACTAAACTCAGATAAACTAAGCTCTGATGTGGATATTGCATCAGAGTGCTTTCATAAGTATCTTCAGTTTGGGAACAAACATTTGATCAAAACAAATGTTTTCCTTTCTCTTCCAAATGGTTCCCTGTATTGGGATGGGCAAAACCCTATGGTTGATATTCTCTTGTAGGTGCATCCGGAAGGTGAAAGAAGTGGCTATTTCCTTCATGTTGTAGCCTTTCATAGTTTCCAAGTAGCAACATTGCACAATAAATGTCATAAGAATAGACTTCCTGGCACAACTTATTTTGGACCTGCATGACAGCAATCTTCAACATCTCTATATTATTTTCTTTCAGAACATTCTGGGCAGGCAAGGGCCATGAGGCAAAGGTCAAGGATCATTTTCAGAGCTCTCTCTATTTTCTAACCTAATGTTCTTCCTTCTGTAGATGGAAAGCACACATTGGGATGTTGGTAAGCAAATTACAAGAATGAATGAAGCTTGTTCTCCTGGGGCCAGAGATATAACCACTGTGGTGGTGCTGCAAGAAATGTATGCACTAAGGCCTCAGCCTGCCCAGCTGGCATAGCAAATCTGAGAGTGTTAATGGGATCCTTCTCTATCTCTCCAGATGCTGATGCGGAGATTGAAGGTGCTCCAGCTTCTCCTTTGGATGTGATGTGCTTAGATGCCAACAAAGATTATATCATCATCTCTTGGAAACAGCCAGCTGTAGATGGAGGGAGTCCTATTCTGGGATATTTTATTGATAAGTTAGTGCTTAACTTCAGTTCATGTTAGCTGTTTGATTATAGAGATGCATGCTTGATTTCTTCCATAATTTTTAGGTGATATTTTCTTTTCTGCACTCTCTGTCTGTCTTTCTATATCTCTTTCTATCTCTCTATGCACATGTATATCTTATCTATCTAAATTCAAAAGATTATCTTTGAGTTGACTACTGCCTCAAGTAATTAATTTGGCTAGAATACTATGAATTTATAACCTAATAGAAGCCACTTTGGAAATTAAATAGCTGGTATTCAGTATATTTCATATCCATACGCCTAGTACTCAGAAGGAAGATGGGGCAATCTACTTCTGTAGTGATACTGCCTTGGAAACCCAAGGAGGGGTCGCTATGAGTCGGGTCCGACTGGACGGCACATAACAACAACAACAACAACAGTATGTTAGTAACTTAAGAATATTGACTTTAGAAATTCTAACAAAATTCTATTTACACCACAGGATGGTTTTGAATTACGTAACGAAATAACAACAAAAATCAATGGTATTAAATGATGTTCTTCTACAAGTTCTTGCCACTTACATTCTCCAAAATTCAGAAGTTCTGTTTTTGAGAGTCAGTGGGTTACTATATGTGTAATGGGTTTTACACATTAATTATCCAATAAATTTAGACAATATAAAAAACAAATTTAGATTACTGACCTAAATTCATTATTCTCTGACTTAGTTTCTACTCAAATGATTGCTGTTATTCTCTTTTCATTTTTAAGTTATGAAATCTGATCATAGAAACCACTAGGGGCAGATATTTTATGCCATGATGGTAAATAAGTTTGTACCATGGTGCTTTAAATCTAATATTTATAGCAATAAGTAAATATATGCCTATTACTGAAGCCTGCGGGTTCAATATCATCCAGAAAATTATTTAGTGTTCATTTAGATATATAGATAGGATATAGATAGATAGATAGATAGACAGATAGATAGATACTAAGATTTGGTAGCATAGTGCCTAAGGCACTTGACTGCTAACCAGAAGGCTGGCGGTTCAAATGCACCAGCCCCTCCTCGAAAGGAAGATGGGGCAATCTACTTCTGTAGTGATACTGCCTCGGAAACCCAAGGAGGGGTTGCTATGAGTTGGGTCCAACTCGACGGCACACAACAACAACAACAACAAGATAGATAGGATTATATATATATATATACACACACACTAAGTTATAGTAAGTCTCAATATTTAGCACATATTTAGAGAATTATAGTATTTAACCATGCACTAAATGATTCCACATTATTTCATCATTTAGTAATGAACTGTGAACATTTAGATCAATTTTTCTCACACTAACAGTTTCTATTTTATTGAACTTTGGCAGATTTCCAAGGTCTTTGCTAACTGTTCCATGAAAAGACCAGAGAGAATCAGTACATTTTGTTTTCCTCTTACCTTACTCATGACAAAAATACCGTATCATGGCTAGTATTTATTAAGCACATACTATGTGCAGGACTTACTATCCTTACAATTAGGAAGTGAGTAGTTAACCCAAGGTCACATGCTAGAGAGGATTGAGTCAGACAGTCCTGCTTCTGGAACCCGAGCTCTAAGTACCAGCCTAGGAGATCCCACCCCTCAACCTGACTTGGACTTCTGAGAAATCCCCTTCTCCTCTCTATTCTGTAGCTTAGAACTGTCACACCTGAAGACCAGCTTCAGGCTTCTGCTGGAGTTACTGGTTCACTCTTTTCAACTGCTTAGTAGGAAACAGTGCTCCTGACCATGTTCCAGAAATGTACCATATTTTTTGCAAATAACACATGTTATACACATATTTTTTCCCAGAAAACACATGCATTGCACACATTTTTTGGCCAACCGTGCAAACCCCTCCATGTGTTCTATTTGTAAGTGCACTATGCCAACTTTTTTTCACATATTGCTGACTTCAATTGATACTAAGATGACAAAATTAAACTATGAAATAAACAGACCTAACATAACCTAATGTTTTCACTTAAGATGCTGTGATAAGGTTTTTTAATTCAACTGTGGAGCAAATGTGCTATAATTATCAACTTAAGTTAATGGAAACAAACACATAATTTTAAGTTTGTTTTCAAATTACTAGGAGACTACAAAATTGTTCCATGACTTTTGACCATAGCTTATTCCTTTATTATACAATTACGATCAAAAGCAACAGTGTTAGACTATTTTAACATACATAAGCAGAAGATAAAAGAAAATGAACAGAACAATTTGATTTACCTGTAATATGGGAGTGAATGAGGACAAAATTTACTTGTGGAAACATCACCGAGCATTCATGGTATATACATGGACATGCTATGCCAGAATGGTTTTACTTAATCTCATAATTTCCCAGTGTTCCATGTGTGGGAGTGTTATTTGCAAAAACAAAACAAAAAATATCAGTAATGCATAATCATAGTGTGCCATGCTTCAGCAGCATAAAATATGGCTGTGGATTCTGGGTGACAGATCTTAGAATCGCTTTTGGAACCTGAATGATCCCTAACTGCTATAAGCCCTGGTCTGATTTTGTCAGACATAGAGAGGCTTTTCCCAAATAGACCAAGTGAAGAAATAACTCACCTAAGTTCACACAGGTAGTAAGTAGCAGAACTCTAACTCAGATATCAACCTGTTTGTACGTATGTACTCTTTCTGCTCCACCATACTGCAGAAGTCTCTAGAGCAGTGGTCCTTCACCTTTTTCCCTGCCCTCATGAAGCTATATCTAGTGTCATTGGGTCACTATGGTAGTATTAGGACAGAAGAACAAGGGGATCCCCAGTAGAACCTCTAGAGACAGGAGTAGTTTGAAAAATCCCCCTCACCCTCTCAGCTCGTGCTCCCACACTCCAAGCATATCTTCAGAATTTCTACAGAGGAAAGCTTTAGAGACGTTAGTGGAAGACAGGAATTGAAGCTGTATCTGACGCCTTTTACATAAGATTGAGAAAATGTCTACTGTCTCCAACACAGAATGAAAGGGTGACGGTAGGGAAAAATAGAAGAAGCCCCCACACTGAGCACCGTTGCACCATCATTAGCCACCCCTTCCCCATAAGACTCATAGAATTGGGATCCAGAGTCACGTTAAGGAAGTAACATAACTAACATTACAGTGCTTTGCTCGAAGAAAAGAATAACAGCAGTATGTAATTCTAACACTGTATAATTCAATCACATGTTGAGTCCCTAAAACCCTGTGAGCAGGCCAAGAGCATGATATATAAACTTTCATCTTTAGCTCTCTGGGGGTGACCTGCTGCACCCCAGGTAGCAGCTGTCATGAAAGCATCCAAATAGAAATCAGAATTCCCAGCAGGTAGTTTTCCCCCTGGGAACTGCATCTCAATCTCATCTCTTAAACATGGCACAATGTCCTGCTTCCCCTTCCACTCTCACATGATGGAGTAACCACAAACTGAGAGACACCGTGCACTATTTCCAAACTGCAGTCCAAATAGGCATCTTTTATGGTGCAACTTTCTCAGCACTAATTCCATTTTTAACAGAAAATGCTTAAAGAAAAGAATCACTAAAGTTGGAACAAAAGACATGGGCAGTGGACATGCTTGAGGGAGTCTTCCTCTATGGCTCTCAACTGTAAAGATGGGAGCTACCTGCCTGCTGCTTTTCCCCCCAGACACCGGCTCCTCACCACCTGCTGTTAATGAGTTCTAAGAGGCACGCGTGTTTAGTAAGCACTTGCGATTTCTCTCTTCTTGTGTAAGGAGTCACGTTGCAGTTGAACAGAACTGAGTGCCTGCAGTTAAATAACTAGCAAACCACTTCTGGATAGAGAGAAGACCTGAAGCAACTGGGCAAGTTGGCAGCTTTGTACCTATTTAGCCAGACTTCATTTTATTCAGTTAGCTTTTTTGTGTTTGTTCGTTTATAATCTTTTAAATTGTGATAAATATTTAGGTACCAAAACATTTGCCATTTGTACAATCTTCACATGTACAGTTCAGTGACATTAATTATGTTCACCATGTTGTTCAAACATCACCATTAACTGTTCCCGAATTTTTCCATCACCCTTAACCAATGTCCCCTACAGATTTCCTTTAATATTTTTTTCAACACCTCTATTTCCCTTAGATGTGAGGTGGGCACAGATACCTGGTCTCAATGCAATGACATACCTGTGAAGTTTGCCCGTTTCCCAGTCACTGGATTGATAGAGGGGCGTTCCTATATATTCCGAGTTCGAGCTGTGAATAAAAATGGCATAGGTCTACCATCCCGAGTGTCTGAGCCTGTGGCTGCTCTGGATCCAGCTGAGAAAGCTAGACTCAAAAGTAAGCATTTTCATTTCTATCTTCCCTAACCTTTTTATTTTTAAACCTCATTGCAAGGTTATTCTTCCCTTTTCCACTAGAGGGAGAAGAGAGTAAGAAATCCTTTATTGATCAGACTCTCCTAGGAATAGGAGCTCTGGTAGCCTAGTGCCTAAGGCATTTGACTGCTAACTAGAAGGTTGGTGGTTCAAACCCACTGGCCACTCCTCAGAAGGAAGAAGGGGTTGTTATGAGTCGGATTGGACTCCATAGCAGTGAGTTTGGTTTTGGTTTGGTTTATCCTAGGGATAAAAAGGGAGCTCTGGTAGTGTAGTGCCTAAGGTGCTTGACTGCTAACCAGAAGGTTGGCGGTTCAACCCACCAGCTACTCCTTGGAAGGAAGGTTGGGCAATCTACTTCCCTAGTGATACTGCCTCAGAAACCCAAGGAGGGGTCGCTATGAGTTGGGTGCCACTCGACGGCACGTAACAACAACAACAAAGGAGAAAAAACAAAAAAGTATTTGGTTTTCGACTCATCCATTTTCTAAAGGACTTTCTTTTCCCTTTCTTCTGATTCTACTCATCTATTTTCTAAAGGACTTTCTTTTCTCTTCTGATTTAGAACATCTTGCCTTGTTTAACTAAATTTCAGGTATTGTGTCTGAAATGAAATAAGAAAAACCAAAAATCTGGAGAGCATTTTTGTTCATTAAATCAAAACCAACCCCACAGCCCTTCGTCAGTAGTAAAGCTTAGTGACTCTAAAGGACTGAGCAGAGCTGGGACGCAAACTAACTCATTCTTCTCCCACGGAGCGGCTGGTGGATTTGAACTGCTGAGCTTCTGGTTAGCAGCTTAATGCCTTAGCCACTTCACCACCAGAGCCCCCTTTTTGGTCAATCATTAGTGCATTGCATATATGGTTTTCTTTCTCTTTCTTGCTTTCTTTTTTTTTTAATGATTTTTATTGAAATATAATTTATGTACAGTGAAATACACAAAACTAAAGTGACATGGGTCAATGCATTTTTTTAATTTTTTTTTTGCAGTGTTCTCTCCCCTCCCCTCCCACCCCTGGCAACCAACAAAGAGAGTTTCCCTC